CCGTGCCTGAGGCTGCTGAGGAACTTGCCCAGGAGGTGGAACTGGCCGAGCCACTCGTAGCTCAAGTACCAACGGCCACAGTGGATGCCGTCTTACCCGCACACGAGGAAATCGAGGCCGAAGAGAGCATAGAGCCGGCCGAGGGGGCTGTGGATGACCAGGTGGAGAATGTCGAGCCCAGGGAGAGTGCTTCAGTCGCGGTCCTGGAGGAGGGAGAAAAGTTGGCGGTGCCAGAGATCGAGAGTGGTGCACCGGATTCCATGCATGCGACAGATCCCATGGTGGAGGACACACAGAGAGCATCTCATTCCAGTGAAGACATTCACGAGGTCGTGGAAGACGAGCAAACCAAAGTCGATGTGCCACAGCAAGTTTCCGAACGCGAGGTTGAGCTTCCCATTCCAGTAGAAGAATTCCCAGAGTCGGCGAAGGAATCCGTACAGGAGCCACAGCCTGTGGTTGAGGCCGTTCCCGGGACAGAGGCCGTGCCTGAGGCTGCTGAGGAACTTGCCCAGGAGGTGGAACTGGCCGAGCCACTCGTCGGCAGCTCAAGAACCATCACAGTGGATGCCGTCTTACCCGCACACGAGGAAATCGAGGCCGAAGAGAGTATAGAGCCGGCCGAGGGGGCTGTGGATGAGCAGGTGGAGAATGTCGAGCCCAGGGAGAGTGCTTCAGTCGCGGTCCTGGAGGAGGGAGAAAAGTTGGCGGTGCCAGAGATCGAGAGTGGTGCACCGGATTCCATGCATGCAACAGATCCCATGGTGGAGGACACACAGGGAGGATCTCCTGCCAGTGAAGACATTCACGAGCACGTGGAAGAGGAGGAAGTCAATGTCGAGAAGGGACAACAAGTTTCTGAGCGCGGGCTTGGGCTGGCATTCCGAGTAGAAGAACTCCCACAGGTGACGAACGAAGCCGTCCAGGAGCCAGAGACTGTTCTTGAGGCCGTTCCCGAGCGAGAGGCCGTGCCTGAGGCTGCTGAAGAGGCTGCCAAGGGGGTGGAACTGGCCGAGCCAGTCGCAGCTCAAGTACCAACCACCACAGTGGACGCCGTCTTACGTGCACACGATGAAATCAAGGAGGAAGAGAGCATGGAGCCGGGCGAGGTTGCTGTGAATGACCAGGTGGAGGTTGTCCAGCCCAGGGAGAGTG